GACAATAAAGGTGCATCATATGATTTTTAGAATATAAAATAAACGTAATGTACAGATGGGCTTGAAGGCTTGTTACTACAAAGCAATGTCCCCGGACATCCGTTTAATCTACTGTTGCAGTAAGTTACCATTTTCTGATCTGAGATATTTATATTGAAATATTCAATCAGATAAGTCTGCTAAACATACTATTATCATATTGTCCTAAGGACATGTACAGAATTAAATATATCTCAATATCTAATGGAACAAGTAAAAAACAACATTCATCACTCATTGTTTTAAATTATGTTACAGAATGAAGCAACTTCAAATATGTTGATTAAATGTACTACATTATAAACCATAAAAATCAATCAATTTACTTCAGAACACACATTAGCATCAGGTTTCAGACCCGAAAGATGGTATTAAAATATAGTGAATCATCATGAGAAATTTGATTGAGTGAACAATTACTGACAGGTATTAGGTAATAAGTTGACGTCAAGATTCAAACTTGAAAAATGATAAATAAAAATATTGTCTTCGTTAATTAGGTAGTATTTAATAGGTACTACCAGAACATACATATTTACAATTAATATGTTTAAATTAGGTAATTTATTTTTTAAATATTGACCATAATTGTTAATTTGTTTGCTTTTTTTATTTTTAGAAGAAAATATACAATCTACATCTAAGACATAAAAAGAATATGTACATAAATTTGAAAGAAGAAGCAACCCCACTGATGAAACTTTCATCTTGGTTTATCGTAGCGATTTAGTTATATGTTATCATCATAAACAAAAAGGGTGATATTTTATCATCATATACACATTCACATTTAAGGATAGACTAAATTATGACTTATGAGCGAGAACAGCAGAATATACATATTTATAATTTGAATCAATTAGATTGAGAGGTACCTGGGACTTGACCAAAGTACCTATTTCGAATTTAAAATTAAAGTAGATAGTGTGCATGTTGAAAAATAATTTAATGTAGCATGATGCGATGCAATAGTAAAATTATGAAATACCATTGTCTTCAAAATTGGCACGAGTTTACAAAACAAATATTATGGTCATGTATCAACTTTGATATTAGACATGAAATCGTCGGAAGACTAGTATATACAACACTCCTACGGTCATCATGGTGACATATCTCATCGAAAAACAATATTCATCTTGGAACACAATTCCTGAACGAGTATAGTACACGCTAAATGATTGGAATAAAGTGCTCTGTCGCATACACAATACACTTAGTCTAGTAAAGCAAAAGAACCAGATGCATATTAAATTATGACGACACACTCCGACAAGACAAGATCAAAAATTTGACCATCATTCGGGTACGACGCGTTGACAAACTCGAGTGTAAGACACACAAGAACATTTCGCACGGATCGGATCTACGGTGACAAAGAATATCGACAGTCGAGCGAAATAGTTAACAATATTAATATAAATTACAAATAAAACATACTTTAAGTCTGTTGGACACGAAACGTGTGCTGGAAATGGAAAAATGCGGAAAACGACGAGACGATGAAATTCGTAACTTCGGTGATTGCAAAGTGTTCAGGCCACGGGGTACGGCGCCACGGCGGACGGCGGCATAAAAAAAAGATATAGGTTAAAAAATAAATGCGACCACGGTGACATATATAACCGAATCATGGAGGAGAGTAGACAGGGCGCACGGACCGCTTTCTCATTGGCCCGCGACATTCCTCCATGCTGTTTGAGGTTATAAACACACACATACATCGTATTTCTTTCACTCGCGAACGAGAGAGACTGTCCGAAGTCTCTGTTTCTGATTTCCCGTGTGGCGTTCATTAAACGTCGTTTCGCGTCGCGCTAGGGTCAACTCAGGAAAATGAGGTAAGTTCACCGTTGATATATACAATAACGCTGTAGTTTGTAGTTTATACATTATTCACTGCAATGAGTCGCCCGCCGTCTTGTGTCGTTTGTCGACCATTGTGGTCGTGCCTGGCGGACCCGTGCCACATGTGTGGCCGATGCTTGTCGCACCGAAACCCGCGATTGCTAACATTTATGTCTAGTGCCTTGCCGTGCTGGTTAACGAGCGTGTACGTCGCATTACTATGGTTCGCGGCTACGACGAGTTGAAGGATCGAATCAAACCCTCCTCCCTCATCCCCTCGTAAAAGCTCTTCGTGTTTGGTCGATGGGTGACAAAGTTATACTTATAAGGACCTTCACCTATAAAAAAAACAAGCCCAAACGTCAGTAACATTACATTGGCCATATTTTCTAACCGATATATCCGATATTGCTCTTCGGTCATGTATTCGACCTGGTTCAAAATTAACAGCAAAGTTTTACCAAACTAATATTGTTCTCTAGTTAAAATATTACATTGTTTTTGTCTTTGCAGTTCGTTAAAGCTTCAAAAAAGGCTTGCCGCTTCGGTAATGCGATGCGGTAAGAAGAAGGTATGGTTGGATCCAAATGAAATCAACGAAATTGCCAATACCAATTCCAGTCAGTAATTCAAATCTATATCATATAACAAATAGGTTTACTAATGCTTGTTAAATAAAATTTAGGACAAAATATTCGTAAGTTGATCAAAGATGGTTTGATCATCAAAAAACCAGTAGCTGTACACTCTAGAGCTCGTGCACGTAAAAATGCAGAAGCCAGAAGAAAAGGTCGTCATTGTGGTTTTGGTAAAAGAAAGGGTACTGCTAATGCTCGGACACCTCAAAAAGTATGAACTAAATTTCTTATTTTTTAGTCAAACATTATTACATTCACTAATCTCATTTCCATTTTCATAGGATCTTTGGGTGAAAAGAATGCGAGTATTAAGGCGGTTGCTTAAGAAATACCGTGAAGCAAAAAAAATTGACAACCATCTTTACCATCAGTTATACATGAAGGCTAAGGGTAATGTTTTCAAGAACAAACGTGTATTGATGGAGTTCATTCACAAAAAGAAAGCAGAGAAGGCCCGTGCTAAGATGTTGAGGTATTTTAATAGTTAAAATAATTCTTAAATTATTGCATCATATTTAATTATTTAATTTCTTAGTGATCAAGCTGAAGCTAGACGTCAAAAGGTTAAGGAAGCTAGAAAACGTAAAGAAGCAAGATTTTTACAAAATAGGAAGGAACTTTTGGCTGCATATGCACGAGAAGATGAGAAGGCTGCTGCTGCTGCGGGAAAGAAGTAACCTGTTTTGTAAATGTTTTTATTTTCTAATACAATATTTCTGACCTATTGGAGAATTAAAAATCTTTTTTTTTTGTATGCCTTGATATATCCTTTCAAAATATAATATTTTACTACCGTAGGTTTGTCATTTATCTTTTTAATCAAAGTTTATACTCTGGTTCATAATTCTCATTTGAATCAAAACTTTTTAGATTTAAAAGTAATATAACAACTTAAATTACTAACTTTTTTAACTATTATCCTTAGAAAAAACACTGCTTATGAGAAATGACTTGTCTATAAGCTATTTTAAATAACTATATTTAACCTTTACTATTTAATTTATAACTTGTGTTATAATATTGTGAACTACTAAGTGCTGCTTCTAGAACTTCTTCTGTTTAAACTATATCATATGCATTCAAAACATGAATTGAGTCAATTTACATAGGATATACTGATACCTAAATTTAACAAAAAATAATTCATCAAGTTTATTCAAATAACATTTAAAGTATCGTTTTGGATGTAGAGTTAACAATTTTTGACAAAAAGCAGTGCTACTTTATTTATTTATTAAACAATGTTAGCTATATTGGTACATTATAGAAAAAGTAAAATCCTTTGAGCTGTAATAAATTATGGTTATGTTTGTCTGAGTAAAAAAGCATTCTATAGATGGTCTGCATAATTATAAGAAAATAAAACTGATTCTTTTTTTTCAAATTGAAGATAAATAGTTTTAAGTTGGTCTTGCATCTTGAAGTAGTTTCTAATATTGTAAGTATAAACTAAAGAATAATTCTTTCTAGTGAATATTAGTTATTACATTAATAATTTAAGATACTCGTGGTCCTAAAATTGTACATTTATTACCATTGTGCCTGTTATTTTTTTTACTTAAATATTTGCATTAACTTTAAAATAAACACATGATGTACATTTGTTTTTTTAAGCAAAATATTTTTCTAAATTTGATAAATAATTTTTGTTACTACTAAATTCATAGTTATCGTTAATTAATGAACATTTGACGTTTGGAATTATGGTGGAAACATCCTGATCTTCACTCTAATCCTGTAGTATATTTATAGGATCTTAATGTTTCAAATGATGAGTGTTTTATTAAAATAATTTATTCTTGTAAACATTTAGAAAATACATGTAACGGAAATAAATACCAATACTATTCTTCCTTACGAAATAAAAATATGTTTACTGTCTTTATTATAATATAAAATCATTTACATGATTAGTATTTAAATGGATGCTATTTTAATAATAATGAATGATGTAAAAAACTCACCTTGGGGTGCTAAAACTAGAATATCAGAGTTACGGCAATTTTATCTAATCTAAGTTAGTGGGCATGTATTTAAAAAATTTTTTAATATTTTACTTTTAAAGGCACTCATATTAAAACATTAAATGAACCATATTGGATACCTAGATTATTCACAGGTATATCACCTCACATATAAATATTTTTCATTTTTGCTGATACTAAACTTAAATTTTTGTTATTTTCCGATATTAAACCGTTAAATAATTTAGGACTTCCTGTGTCAGGTAGGTGATAGCTGTATTTTTTATCAGTCTCTTTACTTTTGATATAATGCCTATCGATTATAAAGACACAGAAGATATCTCGCATAAAACTATTCTTTTAAGGTTCTATTAAACTTACAAATAGTTCATTTTGAATCAATTGTACACATGGTTATCTCAATTTAACATATTTTGGAAAACTGAAAACTATACAATTTCCATGTTTATTAATTCCACGTTCAATTTATTGTCAGTTTAATCACATATTGTAGTGTACAGTCTCAATTTATTTAGCAATAAAAACATAATACAAACATCCAATTTAAAGTATTAATACATTTTTCTTCATTTACTATAAAAAAAAAAAACATTACGTTTTAGTTTTTACACAAAAAGTACCTACACTTTAACACAAACAATGAATAAGTTTATATTAAACATTAAAATATATGGTACAATACTTTTAGTTATTTGCTCCTGAGTAACACAAAGATTTTTAGAATGAAGTTAGTTTTAAACAAATATTAAAAGTATTTTTTGTACTTACTTACATTTTTATACAAAAATAATATGAAATTAATGACTACACATCACAAATACTACCATGTTCGTTCCTATTTTAAGACTTATATACTGTTGATTTGAGGAGATTAAAATGGCTTTTGTGGTCATCTACAAGTAACTGCTTTTCTTTATACATTATGTATTTTAACTGGCATAATTATTTGTTGCCAACTTCAAAAAATGTGGTGAATAATTTTTTTACGGTTCTTAATCTAATATTTCAGAACCCTATAATAACTTCACTCATCCACACATTACAGGTAATACTGCACTTAGATTTTATAATTTTTATAAAAACTGTGATCATAATATGATCATGAACTTTTCCCCTTCAACTAATGATTATGATACTATACAAAATTTAACAATCTACCTTTCTTCTAAAATACATCCAATAGATCTGAGAATGTGACACCTGTTGTAGTGTTGTATACCCACCTGAAATTAACATTGGTTGTATATGATAATCAGAGTTCAATACAAAATACTGTAATATTTTGACTTAGTAATAACATGTCAAGTCCAACATAATCCCCAAATCCAGTGCTACCCTTATTAATATCACCAAAACATATCCTCTAACAACAATTGTTCTTGTACACCGCCTCACAGATCAGGCATGGATCCAGAGCAAAGATCTAGGGGGGGGGCACAATTTTTTGTTAATGTAAAATTATAATATTGGAATCGCTGTCCACCAAGAACTAAGATAGGACTATCTTAATTTGTGCACCCCAGAATGATACGTATAATAATATTATATTATATTATCTGACATCTATGTAATTTGAAATGTAGTAATATCAGGATCTGAAGCATTATTAACAAAATTTGGGAAATAATATGTCTGGGGGTGGCCTGGGCCCCAAGCCCCCCCCCCCCCGGATCCTTCCCTGTCACAGATATAGTATTATAAAAAACACTTAACATTTTCAGTTTTGTAGTAAATTATATATTTTGATACAATTGACTAAATATCTAAATTAGAAAAAATTGTTTTTTATTTTATTAATTTTATTTTGTTACAACAATATTATACATGCTTATTAACACATAAAAATAACATTCATATCATTTACCTACTCTAGATTATCTACGCTTTTTCACTTTTATTAGAAATTTCTTTGTCTAGCCGTTCTTTAGCTCTGTATATTTTTGACTGGAGGTAAAATGAACCACCTAGTGATTTGTCATTTATTTTGAATAAATACTCATATCTTTTCTGGATTTCATCTTGTGTCATATCTATAAACACACATAAATATTAATAAGTAACTTCTTCATTATAAATAATTAATTGTAAGTTTAAAAAAGAAATATGGTTATTGTAACTGATAAGTGTTGCATAAAGTTTACACACAATTCTAAAAGTTTTAATAGGATAATTTTTTCAATATGGTGATGCATAGGTACATGAAGTTGGTAAGACAATTATTTATGGGAAAGTATAATTGAAAAATAAATGAATTTCATAAACATCGCGAGTATACTAAAAATTAATTTTTCCATGGCAAAAAAAATAAGCAATATTGTATTTTTAATAAGTGTCCATTTAAAAAATAAAACACATAAACACTTAAAATTAATAATATTGTTACTGTAATCATTGTATAACTAAAAGGTTTTGGAGACGTGACAAATAATAGTAAGTATCTATAACCCGTGCAGAAAGGTGAAATATGGTGTAGATAGGTACGAAGAGAAGTTTGTATAAAAGCCTTTCTTGCCAAACACGATTAAATGCCTGCCAAGAAAGACAGCTGAGAAATTTTTTTTTTGTTTGATGTATGAGGCAATATTGTTTCATCTATGTACTATAATGACGCCAAGAATGTTTATTGAAATTGAGTGTGGGAAAAAATGTTTATCATAGATACTTAGATAAATTCTTTTTAAAAGTACCTATTTCAGGAGAATTTTTAAATAAGTGAGAAGGTTTATCGCTATATAACATGTAAGTGGGAAAATCTGGAGGTTTGTCTGAATTGTAAGTGAATATTATGACAGTGTTTCTAAGTAGGTGAGATGAGTAGCGTTGAACCAGCAAAACAAAAGATGTGACACAAAATTTCATAATCTAACCTGTAACTCTACCAAAATTTTTAATTAACCCTATAGTTCTACTGGGTGGGATATAAGGTAGTCAGAGTAAGTACCTATTCTGTTATAAATGTTAACAAGAATAATAAAATATTTTAGGATAAATGTGCAATTGTATTGGTTGAGTCCGGGAGATTTGTTATTTTGTATATTTTTGATAATATTATTTTAATTATCAGATGATATTATAAACTGTGCAAGAGGAGACATTGAAAGATAATTTAAATAAGCTGATTTTAACAAAAAAGGTGCTAACTACAAATAGGTATGGTTGAGTGGGGTATAAATCCATTTTCAAGATTTGGTCCAAACATATTTGCTGTGTTGAGGTTAGAATTGTCTGGGTGACGTAGATGAGATAATATTTATTTTAATTTTATTTAGGATATCTGTTGCTGCTTTCCATGGTTAACTGCTGAATTAATTGCCATGGTTATATAGTAATAGCTTTGGATTAGATGATGCAAAATCATTGATATTTAGATTACGGTGGATTTCAAAAAAAATAGATTTAGCAAACAGCACGGGTATAACAATGATTGCAGAGGCGACACTTAATCAACGATCACTGCGGGTGTGATCCGTCGACCGTTTTCTATACTATGGTAAAAACAGGACTTCTGTCGTAAGACGAACCCAAAACCAGCAAACGAAGTCATGTACCTTGGACGTTCAATATCTGTTTGGCCTCCTCCAAAGTGATGCCAGCCTTGGCATTGGCCGCGGCATGCGCTGCGCCGGCACGTCCTCCACCAGCCCTGCGAGCAGCCTCCTGGCTTGCAGCGTATTCCTGTTTGAGAGCTTTGGTCAGTGCCTTGCCGACTATTTGAGAGCCGATGATTATTATTTGCACAATATACTTGGCCATGGTTCGAACGTCGTCCCGCGGAAGTGCGGCCTCTCGCTATCACCGCGAACTAAGATTAGTTGGTTATCCTTATCACTGTAGACATACATATATATATAAATATATTGTCGTAATATTATCTATGGTTATCAGTTATCCCATTGACACCGAGATCAGTATATTAACTATATATAGTTATAGATATTATGTGAAAAAAATTCTTTATAATCGTGCACTGCACTGCACGACTATAATAATAGACGACAAAAAAAAAAAAAAACGTTATAAGTGAAATTTCACCTATTTTGTGCATAGGCCATAGAGTTAGAATATACCTCATACCAGTCATACCAGTCGTATTTACTATAATTACTACGTCAAGGCACAGAATAATATAATGGTCAAGGTCTGTACCATAGAGTAATATAGAGAGGCCGTTCCCTATATCGTTCTGAACAACTGTCTGAAGCAAAAGTGGTTTCTAATTTACAGTGTTGTCGCTTACGAGGAAAAAAATATTGTGAAGTATTTATTACGTTTTACCGAGACTTTGTTGTTGGAAAAGGACTCAGAACAAATACTTGATGATGTGTTTAAAATTGATTCATCCAAAAGTGAAACTCCTTCTATTGCATTACTGCTACAAGACAACTGAAAAATACATACAAAATCTTTTTAAATAATATAAATATACTTTTTTCTAAAAATATTGTAGGTTGGTAATTAATTTAATTTTAAATACTATTATTAATTTTTAGTATATTATATTTATCCTTAATGTATGAATACATAGGTACTAACTTTAACTAATTTTCGATCACATTTTAAAATGTTTGAAGAACTATTTGGTTTTGCTTCATAAGTCATAGGATATTTTGTTACAGTTTCATCACACATTTTTTTGGCCTATAACAATATATGTTAATTGAAATAAAATATTTTCGTTATTGAAATTTTAATAATTTTAGTCAAGTAAGTATATTACTCCAAACGATTTACTTACGCCTTTTATACGATTTACAATTATAGATGGATAACTATGCTTATTTAACAGTTTTCTGCTTTTGTCCAACACAAAACACGACTGTTCAAAATGGAGGGAACAAATTACACTAGTCTTAAGCACATTTTCAGGACTCACAGCATTTTCTAATAAGAAGTTATTCCATTTTTCTCGAACACTTTCTTTAGATGGAAACCTATAATTAAACAAATATTTATTTACATAGTATCACTTTACAAATACATTTTTAAATTCAAGATTAATTTTCTAAATCGTACTTATGAAAAGTTATATTTGCTGATTTTGAACTTTTACTAACTGATCTTCCACAAGTTATACAGCTTGGCATGTTTAGTATATTATAATAATATAATAGAAAAAAAACCCAAGAATTCACTAGAACTGTACTAAACTTAAAATTGCAAACATGAAACAATGTATCTGTACTTTTGTAGGCAGTAGGTACTCACGTCTCAACAATAAATTCAAAATTAAAATTAAAAAAAAATATATAATGAAATTATCATGATAAAAGAATATGGAAATTATATTATCACTGATAACATATCTCAGTATGGGTCACTATGACAATCGTACCAAATATTTTACAATAATTTTTTTTTTGTGAACTAATTGACCTGTAAAATAGAATCCACTTTTGCTTCAATATACGGATGGAACGGCCCCTCTATATTACTCTATGGTCTGTACACGTCTACACCTACTAATACATTTAACAGCTGCTGATGCCTGATAGTACACATATCTATGATTAAAACAAGTTCCGGCGCCCCACTCAAATTTGAATTTAACAATCAAGAACCCTAAATTTCTAAATGACCCGTTCAAACTAAGGCAATTTTGACAATTTTTGATACAGAGCACAAAGCTACTACTCACACTCGAGTTTATACGAACATATAAATTATAATTTTATAAATGTTAGTTATTTCTATAATCTATATTTATTGTTTCATTATTTAACTGGGTGAGTTGTGGCTCGCCTGGATGATCAGTTGGCTTCATGATTTTGTTTTTGTTAGTCAATTTCAAATATTCAAATATTCTCACGTACTCACGTTCGTGCCACGAATGAAGTTAATAGGTGGTGTGAGGAAACAACGTTTTTAATGTTTTCATCGTGGGCATGTAAATGAATAATAAATAAATCATATATATCTTTATATGTGTTTGGTTTTGATTTGAAAAGTAGTTGATATAGTATTATATTATATTACCTACGGGCTACGACGTCTGTTGTCTTATACTCACTCGTCCATTTGTGTGTCGTTTGAGTGTTCAATAATTTGATCTGTTCTGGAGCGAAAAAAAGTTATAATAATACTCTCCAGTAATATTGATGTTATGGAAGAACAACCGACGTCCATGATGGCACTTCCAGTGAGTATTCCTTTCCAACCTTTCTTCACTTAGTCGAGTTTCTCCCTACATGCTGTCGGTAAATTAGCTCAGTCCTGGATAGCTGATTGTTTATCTTCATCAATCATTGTGTATTGTCTGTTGTCACTATAACTGTGTGCACTTGACTGATGGCCATTAGTCATTATACACACAGTAAACGGTCACTGGCCGTCATTCAGTCGTAGTTAACATAGGAAACAACTCATTGCTTATTGAATTGGTGCTAGTGTTAAATTCGCGGATAGCATATTTTGTCTTTAATATATTTTAATTTTTTTTCAGTGCGTTAAAGTGGTATTCGATATTGGTCACAAGGCAATTGTTAAAAGCACACCAACGCCAGAAGGGTTCACACACGACTGGCAGTTATTTGTTCGTGGTGCTGATAACACAAACATACATTTCTTTATCGACAAAGTTGTATTTCATTTACATGAAACATTTCCTAATCCAAGAAGAGGTAAGTGTTATTTTCTTAAGGTGATATCCTCTTAAATAGACTTGGCGTGATTTTGTATTATTTCACTTGTTAAATTGTATTGTTACACAACTTAACATTGAAAAATCTTTACACAAGCTTGTAATTGAAAAGGGTTTAAAATGTTCATGTGTTTACTAAAATTAACGCTACCGTAACTGTTATATTACAGCAGTAAACTCTTATTATGTCTAAACTCAAAGGAAACAGAAAAAAGTGTGAGATAATAGCAATAGTATAAATATTTTTTCAAGAGGATTTCAATTGAGTTTGAGATGATGAAAAATTTGAAATATCAACATTTGCCATGTTAAGGATCTACTATGTAATAAAATAAACCATAAAATTAATCAATTTTTTTCAAATGAAGATTCCTTTGAAACTGTTTTTTTTTAATAAAATGTTTTACATCATTTGTATCATTTTTTTTTTTTTTATATTCCGGTTTTAAAATATACATAATTTAACTTATCTACAATAAATAAATTAATTTATGTGTTCTTGAAATCATAAAATAATAAAAATATTGGTTATATTATAAAATATATATAATATCCAAAATTATTATATTAATTAGTATAAATTAATATAAATTAATAATTTCAGTATACGATATTGTTCTTTTTATGGTAGTATTGTCACTAAGTGCTTATGTTAGTGTTAAGTAAATCTCCAAGTTCCTAATTATTGTTTAAAATTTGTTTTCAGTAATTAAAGAACCACCATATGTCTTGAAAGAATCAGGATATGCTAGTTTTCTGTTAGCTATTTACATCTATCTAAAAAATAAAGATGAACCAAGAAAAATTAGGTTCGATTATGAATTGGTGCTTCCATGTGTTGATTTGCCAATTTTGTGTAAAGTCACTAGAGAAACTTATGTATTTATCCCATCAGAAGATTTCAGACAAAAGCTCATCAAAGGCGGAGGGGTAAGTAAACTTTTTTACACTTGCTACGATATGTTTTCCATAAATATTTAATTATCTATGTTTAGATAGGTAATCATAATACTAAAATTATTATAGATGTGTAGATGTTACGGGCAAAGTGGAAAATTCGAACAATGTATACAATGTTTGGGCATTGTATACAGTGACCGGGCATTGTATACAATGTCAAAGGTATATAGGGCAATGTAAATTGTGAAGTATTTATACAAATAATCTGCATAATATTATTATACCTAATGAATGATATTATATACTAATTTAATTATACTCGTTTATATGGTTATTTATATAAGAGTATTACAATTTTTTTTTAATTAATTAAATTTTAAATGTATTTAAAGGCAATGAAATAAAATATTATGTGCATAATGTTCAGTTATATCATAATATTATACATGAAGTTCATTTGTCAATTGGACAATGGACATGGAGCCCATGGAGGTAGAAATAGAACGGAACACGAGATTAATAAAAAGTACAAAAATATAACTAGAGATGTAATAATGTAATACTTAAAAAATTACAAATAGTATAAAAAGAAGGGAAGTACAGCTAAAAAAGGGTTGGTAAACCAATCATATCTTCTGAAATGAATTCTCGCTGTCAAATTGACTTGATCGACATGCAAGCACAATCAGATGGCGATAATAAGTTCATATTAGTTTATCAGGATCATCTAACAAAATATATTATACAAATTATTTGTATAAATACTTCACAATTTACATTGCCCAATATACCTCGGACATTGTATACAATGCCCGGACATTGTATACATTGTCCGAATTTTACACTTTGCCCGTCACATAGATATCTTTATATATATATAATTCTACTGTACGTGTGTATGTCACTGAACTCCTCCTAAACGGCTGGACCAATTTGAATGGATTTTTTTGTATGCGTTTAGGTGACGCCCTGGATGGTTTATATTCACAAATTCTCAATTGAACCCAATAGATCCGACCCGGGGAGTTGCTCTAACAGGGATTTTAAGATTTACGAAGGAAATATTTGTTTATATACGGTTGCTATTGGTTATAGAAGAAATATAAACATATTTAGTAGAAATTGGTTTTTATTTGTTTATTGGTTGCCTCGATGCCCCGATGAGGGCAGATCACCTATAAGCATGCATACAAATGAATTTTTGCACATTGCCTACCAAGGTGGCTGAATTTCACTTATAGCCACTCATCGGTGTGTCCGCAATCAAAATCAAAATAAAACATATATTATTTATATAAAGTACTCATCAAGCGGGGTCCTCAATCCACAGCAGGTAGGCACAATATACTGCTCGCATTATCATATTAGAAATCATATAGAAATTGCAGTTTTAACGGGCAACAAAGTGCACGGAATCAGATATTATAAATATATCTATATATATATATTTATATTTGTTTATCCAATTTGCTTTACATTAGCAAAATTATAGTTATCTTTGCATCATAATCTATTTCATTGTTAACTTAAAATTGTAGTGGGTAATACTAAAAGTATTTTTACATTGCTTTTAATTTTTATAAAAGTTAATATTTTACTTGAAGAATGTAGTGATTAAACTAATGAAAAAAAAAAATTTAACTAATGAGCTTATGCTGTCAAACCATTCAAAATATTAAATCCAAGTGGAACAACAGTCTTTAGTAGTTTATACTTTGAGGAATAAATTAAGAATACATGGGTGTTACTTAAGAAGCAGATTAGGAATAGAAAATTTGAAGAAGATAAATGTATTCATCTGAACAGTGACGTTAATTTATGTCTATATTTTTTTATCACCACATATTTAGCTATGACCTATCACGTAAATATACGTTCTAAATAAGTGTATATCATAAATATATTTGTTCATAAGGTAAAAGCAGGGTTGAACCCTAAAAAATAGTTTTAAAAAAAACATGTATATATGTCATTGCTCTTTTGGGCACAACTTTTGGAAACGTTACATTAATGCTTGCCAAAGGGTTAAACATTCATTGACATAATACATTGGATTGGATACAAAAAAATGTTTTGACCGTTACATTGCCATGGCCCATGGCTACCACACAATATTAAATATAATTGGTATTCACTTCAGTTATATTGTTTAGTTGTTATTCAATTGTATCAATTATTTTTAAACAATAACAGTGACCACTAAAAACATATGTATGATTCAAAGATTCAATGTTTTTCCATGCAGCAGAGAAAATGTCTCTGTATCTTATTTTACAAAAAAAAACCAATCTCGTTTTTTACCTAATTAACAAATATGTTATTCATTAATATTATAGACTAGTGTTGTATCTCATGATGAAACTGAAGCAAAAAACTCCACTTCAAGTTCTGCCGTATCAAAACAAAAATCAATTACAAATACTAATCAATTGCCATCACCACCACCAAACAAAAATAAAAAAGAAGTTATAAAACTAAATAATACATATTCCACACTTTTTGGGTCTTCAATACAGCCTCCAAAGTTACCACTAACTGTAATAAAATATTATGATGCAGATGGTAAATTAATAGATACTAAAGTTTATACTTTAACTGAACCCATTGCAAGTACTTCAAAAAGTGATATCAATCCAGGTAATATTCAAATAAAATATAAATAACAATAATTAAAAAGATAATAATAGTTATTGGTTCTCAAATCATGTTTTTATTTTTATAAATCTGTTTTTAGATTTCCATTCAAGTTCTGAGTCATCACTCAGTGTATGTTCTTCTGAAGCAGAATGTAACCTTTCAACTAACACACCCAAAAAAAATAAATTGAAAATGAAGGTAAAGGATTTGCAAAGCAGATTAAAACAAGCGGAACTAAATGTAAAACGTGTTGAACAAGAAAAAAATAAACTTCAACAATTATTGGCAGAACCCGGGACATTGGAACAATTTAAACAAATGTGTGAACAATTTCTTCCCAACCAGTTATCTAGCAATTTTGTAAAAACTCAAGCAGAACTAAATTCAAAATCTATTCAAGGAAAAAGGTATTCTAAAGAAACCAAACAGTTTGCTCTAATGTTGCATTTCTTTGGACCTGAAGTTTATCGGTTTTTGAGAAAAACGTGGTGTTTGCCAACTGAAAGAATGCTTCAAAGAGAAACTGAAAAGTGGGAAATTGGTGTAGGTTTTAGTGATTTTTTATTTAAAGTATTGTCACTAAAAGGAAGAACTATGACCACAAAATCAAAAGAATGTGTGTTATGTGCCGATGAAATGTCACTCAAGTCTTTTTTATACTATAATTATTCAAAAGATGAAATTATTGGTTTTCATGAAGAAAACACTCACAAGAAATTTGAAATCACTAAAAATGTTTTGGTATTAATGATTCGAGGCATACATGTTTCTTGGAAACAACCATTAGCATACTTTTTTGTAAGTTCATCTTGTTCAGGTAATTCATTGAAAAGTGTAATTTTTAATTGTATTAATAAGTTAAGTTTGTGTTCTTTTAACGTAAAAGCAGTAATTTCAGACTTGAGATCTAATTTCAAATTGTTTTCTGAAACGGTCGGTGTGACTCCTGATAAACCATTTTTTTGTTGTGGAAAATTGGAGATTTCATATATTTTTGATCCCCCTCATTTATTGAAAGCCACACGTGACATCTTTTTCAAGTATAAATTTCTATCTGATGGTAAGACTTCAGACTTTAAATTCTTAAAACAATTTTATGACACAGACAAAATGCGAACACGACGCCTTGCTCCAAAACTTACTGAAATGCATATGAAACCAAATAACATTCAAAAAAAAGAAGTTAAGCTGGCAGCTCAAGTATTCAGTAAAACAGTAGTTAGTGGTATGAAATTGTGTATGGAAGAAGGTTCACTCTCTTTAGATGCTGTTGATACAGTTGATTTCATTGATCATATGGATAATCTCTTTGATTTATTTAACTCTAGACCAAAACCTGAAAAAAAAATATCAGAATTTGATTCAGATAATGAATCTAGTTCATTTAAACCAAAAGAAGCAAAACATTTTTTATTTGAGTTTAAAGGTTCTGAATCTCAAAATAATTTACTGAACATTATGTTCAATTATTTTAAAAATTTAAAAGTACAAGTCTACAATTCTCATACTTGCAAATGGAATGATGTCCTTAAAAAATGCAATATCAAATTTATTAATGGATGGATGATATCTATTGCTGGGTTGCAACATCTTTTTACAAATTTAAAATCTAAATCAATTAACAAGAAAATTAAAATTTGTACTCGTAGACTAAACCAAGACTGTTTGGAAAATTTATTTGGTACAGTTCGAATACAAAATGGTAATTGCATCAATCCTAGCTGTATACAGTTTAAACGCACTTTTAAAAAACTATTTTGTACAAATTATTTTGAGTATTCAGAAGGTGAAAATTGCATAGATGATTTAGACAATGTTTTGACTAGTTTTAATAAGCTACCAGCTGAAGAATTAAGTATAATTTTTCCCTCTAAAAAAAAGGTTAAAAATGTATGCTCGTTACCTATAAATCCAAAACATTATCGATCTCTTGAGTTACCCAAATTAAATACTCTCAAGTATATTTGTGGATTTTTAATGAGCAAATGTCTTAAAGTCCATAAATGTAATGTCTGCTTGGATTTTGCACATTCCACTACAATGTTGTCTCGTGACAATTTTTTTAGGTATTTCGAAGTATATGAATGTGACACCACATTGAAGTTCTCTTCTCTAATAATGCCTGATTCAGCTTTTTATCAATTCATTTTTGAAATTGATCTAGTTTTCATTAATAACTTTGAAAGTTTGTTAATTTTACCTAATGTTGGGCTAAAAATTAAACAATCTATGAATAATAATGTGAGTTTTCACCATCCTTGCCAACAATTTCCTAAAGAATATCTTTTAAACCTTTTTATTCGATTTCGTATTTATACTTCATTAACAAGAACTAACAGACATTTAAATCTTCCAAGTATAAAATCTGGTAAAAATACAAAAATTCAAATAATTTCTCATTTATAATTATTTATTTTATGTTTCTATCACATTATCATATATTTATGTTTAGCAATATAAATTTATTTTTATTGTATATGTCCGTATAGGTCGTATTAGTTCTTAGGAGGTTTGTTATAAATGTTCTATAATTATTAATTTAAGTAAGTAAAATGTAATAATTATTAAAAAGCTTAACAGATAATAGTTTTCAAATATATGTACCTATGCATAAGTGTCATGTATGCAAACAATTTAAATAAAAATTAACATTTAAGGCATTTTGTTTTATTTTTTTAAAGGACAGAGTTTTGAGTTTTGTCCAAACATAATATTATTGCTATGTTAGTATGTTTAATGTACCTATACATTTTGTCATGACGACCATGAATTTCTTATCCCCATGTGCATGACATACACTGCATGTGTATGACAGTAGTATTTATATTATGCTTCCTCTACACTCTCGCAAGCTTACCTTCTCATGAACTGTGAGAGTGAGAGACTTCAAGAGTATAGTTAGTGGTTTTGTACTCCTTACCTTGTGCTCTTTGACATAAACAATACGTTTGTTGACTAGATGTTCAGGGGCGTATACAAGGGGGGGATGTGGGGGTCAGACCCCCCCCCCCCCCCCCCCCCC